GAGCGTTAGATGTTTTGTCTCATTGAATTCTCACAAAAACAGTAAAAAATATTTTTTGAGTGCCTACGATGTCGTGAGATAGCATAGTGTCACAGCCAACAGAGTGGATTTTAAAGCCACATCAAGGCCAGGTATCGTGGCTTACGCCTGTAATCTGAGCATTTTGGGAGGCCATGGTGGGCAGATAACTTGAGATCAGGACTTCAAAACCAGCCTGGCCAACATGGCAAAACCCTGTCTCTACTAAAAATACAAAAATTAGCCTGGCATGGTGTTGCATGCCTGTAATCCCAGCTACTAGAGAGACTGAGGGAGAAGAATCACTTGAACCCGAGAGGCAGAGGTTGCAGTGAGCCGAGATCGTGCCACTACATGCCAGCATAGACGACAGAGCAAGACTCAGTCTCAAAAAAGAAAAAAAGAAACCACATCATCTCAGCTCAGATCTAGGCTCTGGCACTTACTAGCTGTATGACTCTGGGTAAGTAACTTAACATCGCTGAGCCTCAGTGTTCTCCACTGCAAAATGGGAAAACAGTAACTGGCTCATAGGGTTAACACTGGAAAATAATTGAACAATGCCTGGCTCCATACATTTGCCTTTTTGATTACTACATGCAATGAGGCCAGCTTATGGGACAGTGTTATTTCCATTTTACAAATAAGGACAGGGAAGCTTAGTGAAGTCATGTAACCCGTCATGGGACACACAGCTGGTGCAGGGCAGAGCCTGATGTGAAGGGCAGGTGGATGCAGCTCCTGAGCTTTCTATGGCCCACCAAAGCCAGAGCATATGTCTACCACTGAGTTTTGCTCACTCAAAAGAGTGTGCAGGCAGGCGCTCAGTCAGAGATCTACAGGCATCTGATCAGCACATGTTATGGAAAATCTAGGTCCTTCAAACCATAAACCATGTGAAATGCAGGATGGTTGAGGAAGGAGGCTGGAGGGTAGTGTGGGTCAGGCCTTCTTTGGGCTGCAGCAGGAACCTGGAGGTAAGGAGAGGTTCCTAGGAGAACAAAGGATTAGTCACAGGAAATGGTGCTGGGAGGAGGAGGTGGAAAGCAAAGGAAAGGAACTGTGTGGAAGCAAGGAGCTGGTTACCTAGGACTAAGCTCAGAAGTGAAGCAGCAAGGATTTCTAGAGATTTTTGGAGACGTCACATCTGGAAGGTAGAGCCAGAGATGAGACCCTGAGCGAGAGTCAAAGGGGTGAGTCCAGAGCTGTAGGGGTGGGCCACCAGGAGCCTCAGGAGTGGGAAGCAGCGGACTTCAGATCCTTTGGAGCCTCGACTTCCTTTCATACTTTTCCTTTCATCTGCAGAGTAAACAGAGGGCCACAGAAGGATTAAATCAAAAGTGGAAAGGGCTCATGTCTGGGGACCCCACTCCCAGGGAGGAAGCATTGAGCGCTGGCTGGAGGAAGCAGGGGACAGTACTGGGACCCACCAAGCCTTCCCCCTCTGCCCCTCTACTCCTCTCACACCACAGAGAGCTAACAAGGAAGGGAATAAGACAATTACCCAATTAAACTCGATTTTTAAGCTGCCATTATCTGTACAGTTCAGGGAGCACTGAATCATCTGGAAAATAATCTCAGATCTCCACTTATTTTCACTAGATTGCTTAGCCCTAGGAATCTTGCAAAACTTTTCATTCAAAGTCTGAGGTCTTTTCCTTTCTCCAATCTCCACAACCCAAGCTGTGTTTCCCTGGCCCCTCTCAGACCTGGGTACCAAATTCTGGATATTCGTAAACGAGCAGAAGGTAAAAATGGATTCGACTTGGGAGGATGAAAATCTGTCTGCATTAGTGCTCATTAAAGGAAACGCTAATCAACAAAATGTGATCAATTGTAGAAAGATTCTCATTCCGCATTTCACATCTTTTGCTTTACAGAATTTTCCAACTCAAGAAATAATTTAATTTTTATTTTCAACAGAGATTTAGTTATAAAATAAATATAAATTCCATTTGCATTCATGATGTATACCTTGGAGTTAAGTGGGATTCATCTGTTGGGTTTTTTAAATGATTATTTATAATGAGATGCAATGGTTTAAAAATCTTATCACCAAGCCAAATTCAGCCCTTGGCATGCCTCTGAAACCACCGAGGAAGACTTAGCTACTTACCAAGAACAAGGTAACCTGTGTGCTCTGGGGTGCAAACCGCGTCCCTGGGAAGGGAAAGGGGGAAGAGGGCAGGAGAGGACCTCCAGTATCAGCGAGTACTATCTGGACGTCCTGCTAATAAACGACTTTTTCACTGTCCACACTTTAATTGGTTTACAGCCTTTTTTGTTTATTTATCCATAAGAGCTGCTGTTAAATGGCTCGGGAAGGCGCTTGCCTAATGGCTCGGTATCGCTGCCGGGCCTGTTGTGGGCGAGGCGGCTTGGAGGGGACGCAGGCGTCAGCGGGGATTCAGAGCGGAAACGCATTTTGCCTGTAATGGCGATTTTACGATACCAGGAGCTAGACCCACAGGGAAATGCAACACATGTTCTTACTCAGCGGAGGGTTCCGCAGGATGCGTTTTAATTCGGCTGTAGGTGACAGTCACTCAAAAATTCCCAATAACTTTGTCTGATCTAACAATAATAACAATAATAATAACAATACTACTAATAATAAATGGCTGTTTGACCTTTGCTGCCTGGGTCCCTTCATTAGGTCTCAGGCAACAGAAAACACTAACTGTGAAAGTGAGAACCCGCCTCCGTGATCACCCCCGGCGCTCCCTACCTCCTTCCCCACAGCCGGGGGTACCCGGGTTTTTGCCGGTGACCGCAGTGGGCAGATTTGCTTTTTGCTGAGAGCCTCTTTTCTTTCTGCAGGGCCGAGCAAAAATATTAAATGGGAGCAAATGAAGCATAGAAATGGAGACCAATTTACAGAAATGTGCAATTAGCTGAGAAGTGCAAAGTAAACACTCCGGGGGTGGCCGGGAGGCGGGGAGCAAGGGAGGGAGAGTGGGGCGCAGGCTGAGTCCAGAGTGGTGTGGGGTGCCCAGGGAGGAGGGGGAGGGGACGGAAGAGGAGAGGGAGCGAAAAAGTGGCCGATCTTTGTCCTGAGCGGTGCTCGCCGTCCGCTCATAACCGCGTCGCCAAGTCAACCCGCGGCGACTGCAGATTATCTCCAAGGGTCAACACGCCGCGGCCCGGCAACCCCCTCCACCCTTCCCTCCTGATCGATGTGGTCACTCGCGGCCAGAGTGATAGCGTAGAGTCCTCCGCGGCCGTAGACAATGGACTCATTGATGCGGGAGCGCAGAGATTAGGTCTGCGGGCCCCACGGCCTTTCGCTCTCTGCCCCCACCAGGACCGCAGGTGGCACTTTTCCCTGAAGAAATCACCGAAACTCTCCCCGCCCGCCGCAGTACTTCCCTTGGCCTGTCTTCAGTGACAGCCAGGGCATCTACAAGCCAGGGAGCCACACATTGGAGCCACACTCAGGAGGCCACAGGCCAGGAAGCCACACACAGGAGTTCTTAAACATCGGAGCAAATGCTGAGACGACACCAGCCTCCCACGAGAGAAGGAATCTGTAGAGAATCTTCCCGACTGGCTTTTTGTCTTTTAATGAAAATAAAGAGTACTCAGAATAGCGCAGTGAATCCACACTTAAAACACAAATATTTCCAGTAGGAAGAAATACATTAAAATCGATTCTCAAATGTCTGGATGTGGGTGAGTTGTTTAGGAAAGGCGGGTTGCAGTGATTTTTCTCTGGCTTTAATTCTTTGAGATTCACGCTCTCTTTTGCTGAGACGTTTCTGCAAAGGTGTCTAGTTTGTCTTAAACCCTCAGTGGGGTTTCAGGTCCTCCTCATTTCTGGAGGACCCAGTCAGAGGCTGGTCCGGCCGCCAGGCCTAGCGCGTCATGCCCAGGCTGGGGGTTGGACGTCACCGCTACCCGGAGGTCATCCATCCGCGCCAGTGGGTGCAGGAAAAGTGGTCCTGTTTAAGTCAGGACCCCAGAATGCCTAGAAGTTACAGAATGGGTTGAAGTCAAGCACAGACGTTATCGTGGAAAATGCAGCGTTTTGATTTTTTTCTAAATAGGTAACTCCTCCTCCACTTCCCCCTCTCTCGCTTGCCTTATTTCAATTGCAAGCAGAAGAGAGTGGGTGTTCTCCGCAGGCAAACTCCGCCAGGGTCCCAGCCCAGTAGAGTCATCAAGGGTCTGGAACCCCCGTGCCAACACCTGCCCCGTCTCGCAGCCCGAAGAGGGAGACCGCGTCTTTCCCCCTCACTGTATTGGGAAACTACGTTCTGAGTTGGCCAAATGGGCCCCAATTTTCCAAAATTTGTAATACCCTTCAATTAAAAAAATAAAAAATAAATAAAAAAAAAAACAGAAGAATTTAAAAAGTCTCTGTGAATGCTTCAGAAGTTACTGCTTACAACCCAAAAGTACTTGTAGCACATCCACCAGTAAAACACAGCGAATGTCAGGGTCATGTGCATTTTTTAACTGACATCTTGGTGGCTGTGAATAAACTTCATAAAATAGAATCAAAGGCTTCCTACCTAGAGAGCTGGGTCTGGAAACTTTTTTTTTAAATCGTATTCCCCAACAGTTAAAAAGTTTAAAGCTCAACATGTCTCCTTATAAACTATATCAATTTTTAAAAACACTATGCCCATTATCAAAGATAATAGAAAAAAATACAGGAAAACGGAAAATAGAAACGATTAAGCCACAGTGAAAATGTTTCTCATAAATGAGTGGTTCTAATGTTTTCGTGAGCGCCCACTTTGCAGAGCACCTCCAGCTGCCGCTTCAGGGGTGTGCAGCAAACTCAGACCAGAGAGAATTGGAATGAATGCAGGTGCTCGCGGGTACTTGGGCCGCGCCTCTTAGGGCGGTCAGCCAGGCCAATCGCTGCCCCCGGCTGAGCCACGTGGGGTCCCGCAGAGCCTATGGCGCGGCGGCCGGCCCGCCGGTCCCCGCAGGCTGTGGGTTCCCTCTGAGATCAGTGCCTAGCTGTCAAAGCGAGCAGGGGTGGCTCCGGCAGTGGGAACGCCGCTCAGTGCCAAGTCCCCGGCTCCAGCTCCCGACTCCCAGCTCCCTGTACCCAGGCCCGGGCCACAGCCATGAACGGCGAGGAGCAGTACTACGCGGCCACGCAGCTTTACAAGGACCCGTGCGCATTCCAGCGGGGCCCAGCGCCGGAGTTCAGCGCCAGCCCCCCTGCGTGCCTGTACCTGGGCCGCCAGCCGCCGCTGCCGCCGCCCCCGTTCTCCGGCGCCCTGGGAGCGCTGGAGCAAGGCAGCCCCCCGGACATCTCCCCGTATGAGGTGCCCCCCCTCGCCGACGACCCCTCGGTGGCACACCTCCACCATCACCTCCCGGCTCAGCTTGCGCTCCCCCACCTGCCCGCCGGGCCCTTCCAGGAGGGAGCCGAGCCCGGCGCCCTGGAGGAGCCCAACCGCGTCCAGCTGCCTTTCCCATGGATGAAGTCTACCAAAGCTCACGCGTGGAAAGGCCAGTGGGCAGGTAAGCCTGGCTCCCCACCCCTTTCTCCTTTCCGGTTCTCACCCGGCCGCCCCTACCTCCAAGCGCTCACAGGAGCCTTCTCTCTGTTCCCGGCACCTTGGATTTTCCAGGGTCTGACTAAACTACATCAGGGAGCTAATGAGGCCATCCCGCAAAGCAGCGCTTCTCTGGTCCAGTTTGAAGCATCTTTCCCACCTAGCTCTCCTGGCAGCGTAAACTCCTTCCCTCCCTGTAAGCTGAGCCCATCTTCGCCCCAGGAGCCCGCCCGCTTCCAGCGCCTTCCCTAGAGAACCGAGGCCGAGTCCTGCTTGGGGCTTCGGACCCTCCAGATCCTCCTCGACCAGGGATCTGGGAACCCAGGACTCCTCGGTAGTGCACGTCGAGGAAACTGAATAGGGACAAGGGTGCCTCTGACCCCGGGCCCAGACTGCCTTTGGAGCCCGGGGTTCCCTCAGTTCCCGCGCTTGGTTAAGGAAGGGCAGACATCTAGGAGCACCAGGTAGGTGCAGAAAGGCAGGGAGGGAAAGGAAACTGCAGCCAACCCCGCAGTGTCCGGCGGCCTCGGTTGGGGAAACAGAATACGAGTAAAGAGGAAGGGGCTGGGGCAAGGCGGGGGCTCACCCCGAGGCCGAAGGCCAGTGGCTCAACGTCAGAGCCTGGCAGCTCGGAGAGGATCTGAGAAGCGAATTCGTTTTTCACCAACCGAAAGCATTTGAAGCTGTCTCCCCGCACTGCTTCCCAGGAAGTAATTTTGCAGAAGATGGGCCCTCCCTGCCCAGCCAGTGGGGAGGCAAGAGCCCTGGTTCCTGCGGCGCTCGGCGCCATCCGGGAACAGGTCTTTCCCCGAGCGGGGAGCCGGAGACGCGGAGCCCCCGGGTTCTTCGCAGCCCCGCGCGGGCGGAGAGTTCCGGCGCGGCTTGTGTCGTCGCCGCTACACACTGTCATCGCTGCCGTGCCGCAGCCACTTCCAGTCACACCTGCAACGCAAATAGTTGCCTCTTCCTTTCAACTGGCAGCCGGGAGTAGGGGAAAACAGCTCCAGCCCGCGCGGAATCCTCGGAAACTGCCCACCGCGAGAATCCTCGGCGCCCGTCTGCGGAGTCTGGCCAACCCTAACTGACCCTGACCCCAGGCGCAGCCAGGCAGAGCTTTGTGCAGGAGAGGGAGGAGGACCCCAGCTTTCCCGGGATCCAGGGGACTCTCCTCTTGCTAATTCATTTGCTCGCTAAGGCGAAGGTCCTGAGGCAGGAGCGGGGCTGGACTCCAAGGCAATCGTCCCCACCTCCAGCGAAACCCACTTGACCCGGGCGCCAGAAGCGGCAGTGGCGCCTCTGAGAACTTATCCCGCTCGCGCGGCTGGGGCCAAAGGCCTTGAAGTCTCCGGAAATGCGGGGTTCTTAGGAGGCGGGAGGACAGTCCCTCCGACGAAGGTGGGGGGCTCCCGATCCCCACCCAGTTTCCTTCTAGGGCTGCCTCCCCTCCAGGCCTCTCTTCTGGCCTCCTCGGCCCTCGGAGCTCCTGCTCCCTGGCCTGGGCCTTCCTCAGGAAAAGGGCCACAGCAGGGCCCCGAAAGAGGATTTGTGAGGGGGAGTAACTTCCCTATCCCTACCCAAGCTGTGAGACCTCTGCTCTGGAGGCCTTGGGCTCAGGCCGAGGCAAGAAGCCAGGAAGTAAAACCTGTACGCAAATCAGGCTTGGTCGGGGTTCGGGGGACCAAGGAGGGCGACACACTGGGGCTAAGAGTTGGCCCCAGGCCTTTGCTGCTGCCCTCTAACCCGCTTCATGCTCGGCCTTCGGGGAGGGAGCCGACCTCCCCTCTCTTCCCCTGCTGCGGCCTGCGGGGGCCGGCTGCTGTGCCCGCGTTCCTCTAGGGGAAACTTTCCAAGGAGCCGAAATTCAAAAATTGCACACCCACCTGCCCCTGGGAAGAGCAGTGACCAAAGGGCTCTCACTGGCAGCAGGAATGTAAACGCTAATGACAACAGAGGTTTTGGAAAACCTTGACCCCCAACTGCTTCTGCGGCGCTGGCGCCTAAACTGCTCACCCTGCGCCCTTGACCTCTTCCACCATTCTCAGCCTCCACCCCTGCCTCTTGGTGCTGGACACAGTCCTCCCCTCCCAGAGTAGTGCACCCCGGGCCGTCGCTCCCGGAGCAGTCTCTCCCGGAGACTCCAGGAAGCCCGCAGCCCAAGGCAGGAACCCAAAGGTAATGTGGGTTTAATGTAAGAACTTTAGAGAGCCTTTCAAAATGTTTCCTGAAAGTCCGCCTGGCTTCTCTCCCAGGTCTGGGATGTCAGGTAGACTCGGGGATGCCCGGAGGGACCCGGACTCTCCCCGACTAGAGTCTGAGCCTTGTCTTCAGCTGCTGGAACCTCTTCTCAACCTGGGGGGAAACCCAGGGTTCCCTCACGAAATTAACCCCGCCCCCAACACACACACACACACACACACACTCTCTCTCTCTCTCTCTCTCTCTCTCTCTCGCCTTTCAATTCCTTAAAGCTTAGCCAACATTCACAGGAGTAATGTCCCCTGCCTTTGCTCTAAAACAATCCTCTCCCCAGAGCTTTGGTGGAACTTCCCGCGCCGGGGTCCACAGTCCGGGTGCAGTCAGTATTTTGCACAGAAAGGAAAAGATTGGGACCTAGCTGAGCACAGAGGTAAACACTGAGTGTGGGTCTCCAAACTCCTCGGTCAGGGCACCATGGTGCATCTTGGAGACACGGGAGGCTGGTTTCTACACCACCACCCACCCCTCCGTCGGGCTGTCGGTTCCGCAGCTGGGCCACGGTCCCTGCGTCTCCCCTCCACACCTCTGAAGGCATTTGGGACCCAAGGCATAGAGTCTTGGAGCTGCCAGAGTTCTGTTCTGGCCCCAGAACAACACTCCTTCTCCTCTGGGGCAGAAGACCCGCTGGATTTTAATTCTCCATAATTAAAACAATTATGGAGAATTTGCTGACTCTCAGGTTGGGACTAATTACGATATAACTATAGAGAGAGGAAATACATGGCCAGATATAACAAAATATGTCACAGCCTATATTAGCACAAAATTTTCAGACTGTAAGTTGCACCCTTTCACAGGTCATAACATCAACTTACTAGGTTAAGGTCAGCTTTTTTTTTTTTTTTTTTTTTTTTTTTTTTTGAGACGGAGTTTCGCTCTTGTTACCCAGGCTGGAGTGCAATGGCGCGATCTCGGCTCACCGCAACCTCCGCCTCCTGGGTTCAGGCAATTCTCCTGCCTCAGCCTCCTGAGTAGCTGGGATTACAGGCACGCGCCACCATGCCCAGCTAATTTTTTGTATTTTTCGTAGAGACGGGGTTTCACCATGTTGACCAGGATGGTCTTGATCTCTCGACCTCGTGATCCACCCGCCTCGGCCTCCCAAAGTGCTGGGATTACAGGCTTGAGCCACCGCGCCCGGCGAGGTCAGCATTTTTTTTAACGAAATATTAGATATTGGGGAAAACGTGGATAGCATCATACGTGGTAAAGGTTTGTTTTATGTCCTTAAGATTTGTCAGTATGACTAACCTACAATGTCCGTGTGTGAACTACAGATGATCTAAAATGTATTTCTTACTGTGGGTCACCGTGAGGAGGATTTTTAAAGTCCTGAATTAAAGGCGTTTTATTGCCTTTGTAGGATCCAGCCGGTTTAAACATCTATCAAATGCATTTAAATCAACATCAATCAGTTCGTTAACACCGATTAAATGAGCACATTCAAGGACCACCACTCACAGGCAGAACCGAGCTTAGGCTCAAGGCAGGAGGCGTCTCAGTTTTGGCGTGGGCAGCGTGGTGAAACTCCGTCTCTACTAAAAATACAAAAAAATTAGCTGGGCATGGTGGTGCGCGTCTGTAATCTCAGCTGATCGGGAGGCTGAGGCAGGAGAGTCCCTTGAACCCAGGAGGCGGAGGTTGCAGTGAGCCGAGATCGTGCCTGGGCGATGGAGGAAGACTCTGTCTTAAAAACAAAAACAAAAACAAACAAACAAAAAAGGCTCCCTTCACTAAGGAAGGGTTTTGCCCGCCTACACTAGTCGCTGAAATAAGATGCTGGGGCTTGGTGGCTCTGGTGGAAGCAACTGGTAGGCCTAAGGCTCCCTGACCCACCTTGAAGGGATTGTGCTGCATGGGTGGGGGCTGTGCGGGGCTCCGGGGGCCACACTCACGCTCTGTGTCACCCGCAGGCGGCGCCTACGCTGCAGAGCCGGAGGAGAACAAGCGGACGCGCACCGCCTACACGCGCGCACAGCTGCTGGAGCTGGAGAAGGAGTTCCTATTCAACAAGTACATCTCACGGCCGCGCCGGGTGGAGCTGGCCGTAATGCTGAACTTGACCGAGAGACACATCAAGATCTGGTTCCAAAACCGCCGCATGAAGTGGAAAAAGGAGGAGGACAAGAAGCGCGGCGGCGGGACAGCGGTCGGGGGCAGCGGGGTTGCGGAGCCTGAGCAGGACTGCGCCGTGACCTCCGGCGAGGAGCTGCTGGCGCTGCCGCCGCCGCCGCCCCCCGGAGGTGCAGTGCCGCCCGCTGCCCCCGCTGCCGCCCGAGAGGGCCGCCTGCCGCCTGGCCTTAGCGCGTCGCCACAGCCCTCCAGCGTCGCGCCTCGGCGGTCGCAGGAACCACGATGAGAGGCAAGGGCTTCTCCTGGCTGGGCAGGTTCAACCACTCGCCGAGGAGGAGCAGAGGGCCTAAAAGGACCCCGGGCTTGGACCTACCAGCCCTGGCAGTTGAAGGGGGCAGCAATTTCGGGGCCTAGCTTTGACCGAAGGGGAAAAACCCGCTCTCCCAGGCGCATGTGCCAACTGGGGCCCCGCAGGTAGATGCCGGCAGAACTTCCAGAAGAAAAAGAGCCATTGGTTTCCGTAGTATTGGGGCCCTCTTTTAGTGATACTGGATTGGCGTTGTTTGTGGCTGTTGCGCACCTTCCTGCCAGCCTCCAGCACTCCACCTTGGGACCTGTTTAGAGAAGCTGACTCTTCAAAGACCATGGAAACTGTACTGCACACAAGGGAAAGCTCCCCGACCCACAGCGGGGGAGCGGCACCGAGTGCCTTGATCTGCTCATAAACAAGGCCATTCTTACTCCGGCGACCACTTTAAGTTTAGAAATAATTGAAAGAAAATGTTTGAGTTTTCAAAAATCCGGTGAAATTGATGCCAGTGGAATACAGTGAGTCCTCCTCTTCCTCCTTCTCCTCTTCATCTTCCCTCTCCTCTTCCTCCTGCTTCTCTTATTCTTTTCCCTCCTCTTTCTCTTCCTCCTGCTCTACTTTCCCCTCTCCTCCTCTTCTTCTCCCTCCTCTTCCTCCTCTTCTTCCCCCTTCCTTCTCCTCCTCTTCTCCTTTCTCTTCCCCTTCCTCCTCCTCTTTCTTCCTGATCTTTCTTCCTCCTCTTCCTTCTTCCTCCTCCTCCTCCTCCTCTTATTAACCTTTCTCTTCCTCTTCCTCTTCTCCTCTAGCTGCACACTTCACTACTGCTTATCTTCTAACTTGCACCCCTTTCTTCTGAGGAAGAGAACATCTTGTAAGGCAGAGTGAGTAGCGGCAGGGCTGGCTTAGGAGCGGCGGGAGAGCACCTGTGCCCCAGTTAATCCCACGCTGCTGTCAGGGAGAGCAAGGGGAGACAGACCTGGATCTGGGGGTGAAGGAGAAAGCTGAACCCCTGGGTGACCGGAAACCAAAGATATTTGGAACTCGCTATTTAGGATGTGGATGTAATTCCTGTTCGGAGGTAGAGGCTGTGCTGAAGGCAAGCACAGCGGCCTAGTGCGCCTTGGAAACAACTATTCACAAGCCAGTATGATTTTTACATCTTTAGAAATTATGAAAACGTATCTGATTGGAGGGTTTGGAAAACCCATTATCTTATTTAACGTGTTAAAATTACCTAACAGTTCTTTACAAACAGATCTGTGCATCCCAGGCCTGTCCTCTTTTCAAGGTCTGGTCCTTGTGTTCAGGTTGTGTTTGTGGGAAAGGCTTAATAAATACGCATAACATAGGAAGAGATAAAAACTGATTCTCCTCGCTTTTATTCAGACCTTTCCGGCAGTGGGATGATTCAAATTCACTTTAAAAATTAAATCAGCATCTTTTTGTCTTTTTCTTTTGTTAATTTTATGGGGTTTTTGTTGTTGTTGTTTTTTGTTTGTTTATTTTTTTGAGACAGTGTCTCATCCTGTCGCCCAGGCTGAAGTGCAGTGGCGGGATCTCGGCTCACTGCAACATCCCGGGTTCGAGGGATTCTCCTGCCTCAGCCTCCTGAGTAGCTAGGAGTACAGGCTCACACCACCACTCGAGGCTACTTTTTGTATTTTTAGTAGAGACGGGTTTTCTACCATGTTGGCCAGGCTGATCAGCGTCTATTTTTTTTTTTGATACTAATCAGAGAAAACCATGTAATTAAGAAATATTGCACTTGGATTTCGAGTTGAAGCACCCTGTGAGGGGATGAATTGTCAGTTTTGTTTAATTTTTAGTAATATCTTCTCAAGATGACTTTTTCAGGCAATATAGCCTAGAGCGTGGTAGACAGTTCGCAGTACCGCTAGTCAACACTGCATCCCACCAGAGCCAAGCACCGCCCCCCTGGCGCCGCAGTGCTGCAGGCGGCGAAACGCGCCGCGGGCTCCCACCGTGGCCCGGTCTCCTCTTTCCTCGCAAAGCTGAGAACGCGGGCGAAGCAGTTTTCCGTGACCCTTCCAAAAGAAGCATTGCTTTGGATAAGTCTTCGCCCCCGGAGACCCTGCCAAGAATGTCTTCTGTTAGAGGCAAAGATGCCCGGATTTAGAGGGCTTCCAACCGCTAGGACCACACTGCTCCTCCTGCAGGAAGCTCTCAGATGCGCACCTTAGCCCAGCGGTGCACCCGACGGCCCTCCCGGCGCTCCCTGGGCTCAGAACCAGTACCTCACTCCCAGGAGTCGCCATTTTTCGTTTTCTTTTTGCAAAGATAGAAGCTGTTGTTGGTGTTTTGTTTTGTTTTGTTTTATTGGAGAGAGAGAAACCGAGTCCCTCGGAATAAAGTCCCCTGGATCAGAGAGGGGAACCTGCGCAGCCGTGGCAGTGCTCTTGCCCTGCGCTTCTCCACACCCGCCTGGGCTCTAGGGTGTGGCAAATCTGCGATCGCGTCCCTGGTCCCTCAAAAATTGGCCCAGCTCGTAGTCGTGATAAAATGATTCGAGCTCTCAATGACTCAGTTTCCTCACCCAGAAAGTGGAGGCAAATACTACTTCCTGGAGTCAGTGTGAAGTTGTTTTTTTGTTTTGTTTTGTTTTGTTTTTTGAGACGGAGTTTTTGCTCTTGTTACCCAGGCTGGAGTGCAATGGCACGATCTCGGCTCCCCGCAACCTCCGCCTCCTGGGTTCAGGCAATTCTCCTGCCTCAGCCTCCTGAGTAGCTGGGACTACAGGCACGCGCCACCATGCCCAGCTAATTTTTTGTATTTTTAGCAGAGACAGGGTTTCACCATGTTGACCAGGATGGTCTCGATCTCTTGACCTTGTGATCCACCCGCCTCGGCCTCCCAAAGTTCTGGGATTACAGGCTTGAGCCACCGCGCCCGGCAGTGTGAAGTTTAAACAAAAAACAAAAAACAACAACAACAAAAATACATATAAAATGCTAATTCAGTACCTAGGAATCCCTCTACAAATAGTAGCTGTTGTTTTACGGCTGTCATCATCGTCGTCGTCGTCGTCGTCAGAAGCAATCAGGAGCTGCTGCTGTGGAGTTTCTAAGGTCCCCCACCAGTCCCCCGGCAGCCTCTCTCCTCTGGCAAATCCCCACACTGTCGCTGTTGATCCGAGTCTTATTCCTCTACCCACTGATCTTTGCTGAACACTGCCTCGTTTCAGGACGCCTTTCCTTCTAAATTCCTTAGGTTTTCTACAGCAACCTTCGCCAGGCAAGGAACTGAAGTTCCGCCGCCCAGTTAGTTGGTGGAGGCGCAGAAACTTGACCTCGGGCCCCAAGCAGAAGCCACCGTCCTCTCCGAGGCTCCGGCCTCGATCTCACTCTGCGCGCTGGGCGGGCCGCTGCTTCTCCGCGAGGCCCGAGGGTTCGCCAAGGAGAGTAGAAGAGGCGCAGGCTGCCTGGGACTGGTCTTGGGGCAGCCAAGGGCGCCGGGGGCTGCCCCAGGTCTAGGCCCAGGATCAGAGCTTTGCTTGAAAGTTCTCTGGGTGGCGGAGACTCGGGCAACCAGAGCCTGTGCCTTCCGCGGAGAAGAGCTCGGAAGCCGGAGGTCACACCGCTCTGGGCTTGGATTCAGTCCTTCCTTACTGCTCGCGGTTTTGCTTCCATCATTTAACTCTCCATTTCCTCGTCCGTAGAGTGGGCTCATGAGGAGTTGGTAAGGAGATGATGATGTCTTTGAAGAGGTTAGGACAGGGCCTGGCACAGTCTCCCTTACGCGTGGTGGGGGTGGCAGACGTGATGGGCTGTTTTTGCCAGGAGACATCGGCCTTCCTGCGAGGCCCGGGGAGGCAGCGGAGAGCGAAGTCTTGCTGGGCGAAGGGACCTCGAGGAGAGTACCGGGAGAGGAATGAGTGCAGCCGGGAGCTCCCCTCTGGGCTCCACCCCAGCCTCGGAGCAGAGGCGGCCGGCTCCGCCCCGACCCCTCTGCGGCTGGACCGAGACCTACTGGATCAGACCTCGCAGGGAGACTCGCGTGGGGCCCAAAATGTGTAGTTCAGACTCTGAGCGGCCACCCTCAGCCAACTGGCCAGATGCGAATTGTGGGCCCTGAGGGGCGGGGTCGCTCGGCGCTGCTCGCCTGTGCATCTGCGGGGCTCTCCAGAGTGAGGGGCAAGTACGGAGATCGCCAAGGAAGCAGGAAATAAATAAATAAATAAATAACACAGCTGGGCGTCGGGTCAGAGTTTTCTGCAAAGGAAGCGTTCTGATCCCAGAACTCCAGGATTGACCCCAGTACCTGACTTCTCTGAGGGTTGCCAGCCTCCCTATGTTCTTCGTGCTTGGCGCACTCCTTTCGTAATGAACAGATACCAGTGGCCTTCAAAAGGTCTGGGGTTGGGGGACAGAGGAAGTGACCTTGGGTGCAGAGGAAGAGCGGAGCTCCTGCCAATGTGGCACGCAGTACCCTGCACAAGTGCGCGCCGGCTCCCCACGTGCGCTCCAGAACCCCCAAGACAGCCCGGCCCTGCTCACCCCAAGGAGAAATCCGAGAGCTCAGCTGCCTGCACCTCCATGCCCCAGAGACCCTCCGAACCCCAGAGACCCTCGGAGCTGGAGCCACAAGCCCTCCATTCCTCTTGGAATCCTCAACCCCAAGGTAAGGTAAATTAACCTAGCGCTGCGCAGCGATGCGCTCGATCCTGGCGCTGATCAGGCGTTGAGACCCAACCGAGCGCTCGGTGCGCGCCCCCAACTCTCGGATCGGGTTCCTGGCTCTGTAAAAGCCGCTGAGCCCAGTGATTCGGAAAATCCGGCATTAGTTTCTCACCATACACCGTCACGTGGACGTCATTGAAAATGGAAACCCGGGTGCAGTATCTGGGAGAGCACACTTGTGGGGACGGTGGGCCTGAGCTATGGGACTTTCTCCAGGTCTCTGTTTCCTGTTCGCGTAGGGGACTTGCGGTGTCGGATCGCAGAGTGCCAAAATGTGTGTCTATATATATATATATATATATATATATATATATATATATATATATATAGTGCACGAGAAACAAACAAAAAAACACCTCTCCTTTTCTTCCTCAATATATTTTTTTCTGTAGGTAGGCTAACATAGTACTTGAAGTTCTGACCTTACAAAGCTGAATCCATACCATACAATGACAATATCTGAGAGTTGGTGATGATTTCGGGTCGTGCATATTGTTTTTAACAGTGCTGATGTGCGTAAATAACTTGTACCCTTCGCTCCAGTACTGGGACCTGAAAGCATTCCGCGACGTGTGTTGGGCTCCTGCTTTGTTGCAGGCACGGCTAGAAGCCTTACAGTGCTTGCCCTGGAAGCACTCAGTTTTTAAAAGCCAAGTCACGTATTGTCCCTTGATGGTCAACACCATCATGGAGATTAAATTGATTATCAGTGAGTGAATTTACCAGAGTAAATAGAAGTCACTATGATTCCCCAAAATGAATGTCTCCTTTTGAACAAGAGCTGTTTTGATTTTTTTTTTAAATTTTGGCCTCCTTAGTCCAGCACTGCCATCCTC